TGTGCTAGAATATGTAGCCATGTTCTGTTCTGTGGCTTTCCCTGGAAAAAATAAACACCCCCCCCTTCACATATACACACCCCTTTCTGTATCTGCATATGTACACATCACATCTATTATACATGCAATAGAATATAGTTATCACACACATACATAATGCGTATTAACTCCTTTAGCAAATTTCAATTAGAAAAGATTGGATCCTGGGCTTCCCTGGTGGTGCAAGGGGTTGAGATGCAACCTGTGAAGCTCTCCACAACCTCTGCAGCAAGAGTTCGATCCCTGGCCAGGGAGCTACCCACATGGCGCAGCAGACCTCTCCTGTCATGCCTGCTGCTCCCCTCAGCAGTGTACTTCAGTCCTTCTGCCTGTTCTGTTCCCCGCTCTGTCTCTGGTGAATCCTCTCACCCTCCCACGCATCTGGCCTGTACCCCGGTTCTTGTATAAATAAATAAATCTTAAAAAAAAAAAGGAACTGGGTTACAGACCAGAGGTGCAGGGGGTGAGAGGATTCATCACAGACAGAGTAGGGAACAGAACAGGTGGACTGACTGACTAAACATACTGCTGACGGGAGCAGTGGGTGAGACGGGAGAGACAGGAAAGGTCTGCTGCACCATATGGGTAGCTCCCTGGCAGGCCAGGGATTGAACTCGTGTTGCAGAGGCTGTCCATAACTTCACAGTGCTGTGCTTACCCCTTGCGCACCAGGGACGCCCCCACTAGTGTTGTTATAAACACAGACTCTCAGGCTCTCTTCTAGAATGTCTGAATCTTCCTGAGCATCCAATCTTGTTGAGCATCCTCAACACTGGGTGGTCCAGGGTTCAGTCTCGCCCTTTTCTTTAGTCATCACTCCCTGGGGGACCCTTTCCCAGTTCAAGACTTCAAATATCATTTACGTACATCACCTCCAAATCTATTTCTCAGCTCAGACATTCCATCTGCCCTGCAGACATGTCTGTCCAATGACCAAAATCACGTGTTTCTAACAGATCTCAGCTTCAGCTTTTCTGAATTGACTACCTAGGATGTCACATACATGGTTCTCCAGATCTTCCCCATGTGACTTCAGGCTCACCATATCCCTACTTAGAGTCTGGAATGTTCAGTGTCATCCTGACCCCTCTGTCTCATAACACAGAGGTAGGAAATGCTGTAAATCCATCTCTAAATATGTCCAGATCCAGTGACTTACTATTTTCCTGCACACCCCCCAACAAAACTAAACTCTGTGTCCTGGAATCTTTCCTGGCTTCGCCACATTTATCTTCCCACTCTCACCTTCGCCAGTTGCTTCTCCACAGCGCCAGACTGAGGCTTCTAGTCACACAGGTAGATCT